TGGTGATTAATGTGGTGATAGTAATAGTGGTAGTGGTGGTAGTGGCAGTGGTGGTATAATGGTGGTAGTGGTAACGGTGGCATGATGGTGGGGTGATGGTGGTGGTGGTGATGGTAGTGGTGATTTTGTAATAGTGTATATTGATATTTATATTTAGTATTTATAAATTTAATCATAACTAAATAAATTTCATATGACTTAAATTTTTTTCTAAAATTTAATTTACATTTTAAGAGGTACTTAATTTTTTAAGTACTATCAAAATAATTTAATTAATTATTATTTAATGCATTCAATTTTAAATGTTGAATTTGATTATCAAACACTTTCTGTCCAATGCCCAAATCATCCCTCAATACGTATATGCTTGTACAACCTGAATCATAGGGAGAAGTCTCCATAGGCCGAAGGATTGGCCGCAAGGAGAAGGGACAAAGGCCTCGTTTAGTGTAATTGTGAGAAAGTGATTATAAATTACGGCTTAACAGATTATATATTATAATTTTAAACATAAGCTATTAACCTGTTTGGTGTAACTGTGAGATTATAGATTTAATCAGCAGAGTAGTGTTTGGTTGAATAAGCTGCAAAATAGCTTTTTGCTATGTAAAGTCCTTTTTACCCTTATAAGATATAAAATTTGTGATTTCATTTATAAAACATTTTTTTTTCTTTTTCTTCATTTTATTTTATTTTCTTTTCTTTTTCTCCTTATTTTTTTATTCTTTTTCTTTGTTAATTTTGTTTAATTTCTTTTCATTAGTGGAAGTAAATTGTATTTTTTTTATTACACAATACCAATTAATAATATAAAAATTGTTAAAGGAAGTTTGCCCTTATATAAAAATTAAATAATTAAATAATTTATTGTAAAAAATTATTCATTAAATACCAATTAATAAAATACCAATTATTCATTAAATATTTTTTTTTTCATTACACAAAGTGCACTTAATATTCATTAATGGAAGTTTGCCTTATATTCATTTTTTAATTTATTAATTTTTTTTTTAATTACAAACCCTAATCCCACTGTCAGCAACTCCCTCCTTCTTCTCCTCCTATTCCCACTGTCGATAGCCCCATTTTCTCTTCCTCCTTATCCCACTGTCGGTAGTCGTCGATTGTCAAACCCTAGCCGCAATCATAATTAGTGTGAGATCGCAGAAGAGAGAGAGAGAGAAGATATTGTAGAAAAGAGAGAGAAGAAATCGTGATCGTCACCATTGGGCTACGGGTTGAGATCGTCACCGGCGGCGTTAGGGTTTTAGATCGATCGTAAAGAGAGATCGCAGAAGAGAGAGATCACGATCGTCACTTTGAGCGATCGCGAAGAGAGAGATCGCGATGGTTAAGGTTTAAGCTCTGGTTCAAATCTCTCACTGTGAGCGATCAGAGAACAGCGGAAAGAGAGAGAGAGAGAGAGAGAGAGAGAGAGAGAGAGAGAGAGAGAGAGAGAGCTTTGGTCACCGGAAATTGCCTCTCCCATTCGTGAGAGAGAGAGAGAATGAGAGTTTTTGATTTATATACATGGCACACTTGTAATAATTGGAAATTGTAAAGGGCATTTAAGTTATTGCACACCCCTTCGCATAATCTCAATTGCGGAAGCTGCCTGGACCAGCTTCTAATTCTCAACTTATTTTCCTCTCAAAAAAGCTCTTAGAAGCAGAAGCAATTTTTTTAAAGCTGAAACAAACAGTCTTAAATTGCTTTTTCAAAGCTAAAAGATATAAGTTGATCCAAAAAACCTAGACCAAACAACCTCAAAGTGTGATACAAATAATTTTAAAGGTTTGGCTTGGTGAATAAGGTTGGAATTTGAGATTTACTCCATCCATAATTTTAGATTTGGCTCTTTTCATCAGCAAAAATTCTTACGATTATAGATTGCAAGGTTTAAAATTTTTATTTCAGAAAACTTGCTCAGCTATAAGAATTTAATCTGAGTCAATAATACTTTACCTAAAAAATAATGATAAAAAAACAAAAAAGAGGGACAGAGAGACGGGTAGTTGATGGCTTGGGTGATGACTCATTCAGGAAATAAGGTTTGGGCCCCACATATGTGGATGAGCTTGCAAGTGCGCCCAGATTTGTGATATGGGCCTTATATGGAAGAATTTGTTGACTTGAATTCTAGCAACCTTCTTCATCTGCCACATCAGTTCCAAAAAAGTGACAGATGTTTATTATAAAAAAATATTATGAAATTTAACCTGTAATGTGAATTACTTAGGCCTCTTTTTATTTTTATTTTTTTTAATTAAAGAGGCAAACTTTATATTATGATAAAACTAGCTGTTGAGCTGTGCAATGGACGTATTATTTTTTTTATTATAAATATTTGATGTTATAATGTGTGTTATAAAAGAATTAAAATTAAAATATGATTTTAATTATTTATTTTGATAATATTAGTACTATCATTCTATAAAATTATTAGTTGAATACTTATATATATATATATATATA